TAGAATCAACCATCACAGTTCTGGATTTGATGCTAACCATGGTGCTACCTGGTCTAAGTAACAGTCATTGTTTTGCTATAGATTTTATTCAATTTTCCTAGATTTAGAATCGACTTCAAGTTTTCCCTCTTCTGACTAAGAATAAAACATACCCAATAATTTCATAACACTTTGAAAAATAATGAGTACAGCAGCAAATGATCTTTAAATATTGTTTACCCAAGAGACTGCTTCTTGATGCATGTAGTTCCACAAACCATCAAAGTGTTTTATTAAGAACTTAAAGAAAAGAGTTATATATTGCTGTTTGAAATTGTACTCAATTTTCAAGATACAGTTTGAAACAAAGGGTCAAATTTCAAATTAGGGAAAGAAAAAAATTAAGAAGAAAAATAGAATAAATTCATCGATGGCTTGTTTATATCTCAAGTCACTCAACATTTTAAAACTTAAGTAGTTCTTGGTGATTTTTATATAATCCTCTAAAACCATGCCATCTCAAACTACTACAGCGTGTGGTCCTATCCAGAAAAATTATTTCAAGAGTGGCCAGAGAGATAGCGCATGGATTAAAGTACATGCCAGGCATGCAGCCAACCCTGGCTCAATCCCTGCCACCACCTGGTTCCCCAAGCATCTCTGGGTGCGGACTGACAGGCCCTAAACATCCCCAGGTATGGTCCAGGTGATCCTGTGGCACTGCAGGGCCGAGCAGCACTGCATCCTTGGCCCTCACATTGAACGGCCACCCTGGTTGGCAGAGAATTGCCTAGAGGGTTGTTGGTACCCCACTACATCACAAACTAAAAAAACATATTTTTTCAAGAAAGGGACTTCCATGAAGAAGACATTGTATATGACGAAAGAAAAGTCCATAAAGGACATTGTTGGGGTGTGTGGGAGCTGTTTTAATCAAACCCCTTCCCAACTCTCTCCCTTAGTCTTCTTCAAAGAACTTGACATAGTTTTTATCTAGGACCCTGATGCTAGTGGTCTACAGGCCTCACCATCTTGGTGACCCACTCAGGCTGAGCAAGTCTGTGAATATTTTTTTCTGCTGTCATTTCTGATGTTAAGTTCATGCCTTCTCACTGTTTTCCAAAAACAAAACTCTCAAACCTCTGTTAGTCTAGAAAAGACTCTTAGACATACAGAACAGCTGTGGGAAACAGTTGCTAGCCTGCATTCAGGAAATGAATTAGCCCAAATACATGAGGAAAGACTCTATGGGCATCTATGTTAAGAGCACAGAAAAAAATTTAAAAGAAGATTGAACAATTTTACTATATAAAATATGCACATTTTGTGTAATTTTGAATGCTAGTAACTAAACTTTAAGTTTTTCAACGACTCTGTACAAATGTAAAATTTGATGATTTTATGATATATAGGGTGGAGTGATAGAACAGTGGGGTTGGAGCGATAGCACAGCGGTAGGGCATTCGCCTTGCGTGGCAGCCAGCCCGGCCGAGCCGGGTTTGATTTCTCCACCCCTTTTGGAGAGCCCGGCAAGCTACCGAGAGTATCTCACCCGCACAGCTATCTGTGACGTATTCAGTATGCCAAACACAGTAACAACAAGTCTCAAAATGGAGACGTTACTGGGCCTGCTTGAGCAAATCGATGAACAACGGGAGGACAATGATATATAGGGAGAGGATGGGACAACAAGACAGAAATGGATAGCAAAGATGACCTGTATTGCCTAATAAACAACATTGGTCACACTGTTCCCAAGGTTTTAATCTCCTCAAAAGTTTTTGTTTATGAAGATAAATTAGGACAGGGAAGCAATTCTATGAGTTTACCCAAAAACCATCTTCATGGTTCTCCTAGTTCTATCACAGTTGGATGCACATAAGTGTTACATGTGGAAAGGAAGGGAATAAAAGGAATGAAGAGGAGTGTGACTGATCGTGAGTGTTTGTCACATGTCGGAATCCGAGTGGCAACCCAACCTCCCTTCTGAAGGAGACGGCCACATAAAGACAAGGGGAAGAAATTCATTTACTCTCAAGAACACCGTTACTCAAGTAGCTCCACAGCTCACATGCTTTGCACAATATCAAGCGAAGTAGAAGATTTCCAAAAGAGGAATTTGGAAATATTCTTTAAGCCTCGCATCACAAAGCCAAAATAATTGGTTTTCAGGAAATTGTGATTGAGAACAAAGCTCATTTCTTGGCGATGATCTCATCAATAGTGACTTCCTGCCTATTCATGGCTCATCGTCCATTACAGATGAACATACACGATGAATAGAGAAGAATGGTCAAGTGCATGGTTGTGAAGGTGGTCCCCCCTTTGTTTTAATGCCAGTTTGCTCCTCGTGACCTGGAGAAGGCTGTGTAAGCCTTTGTGCTCTAGTCTTCCCATCAGCAATGCAGAGAACGGCAGTAATACCCACACAACAGAGCTTTGTGAGGAGTGAATATATTAGAAATAAGGGCATGACTGGGGTAAAATTGGGAAAATTTGAATATGAACTGCAGATAAGAAAATAGTATCAGATCTGTGTCCTTTTGATGAATCAGAATGATAAACAGCATTGTAGTTATTTTGTTGTTAATTTAATTTTTGTTTGGGGGCCATACCCAGCAGTGGTCAAGGTTTACTCTGGGCTCTGTGCTCAGGGAGGAGGCTCAGGAGACCATACATGGTGCTAGGGATTCAGCGAGGGTCAGACATGTGTGAAGTAATCACTTTAATCCCAGTACTGTCTCTCTGGCTTCAGCATTGTGGTTATGTAGGAGAAATCTGCACGGTAGCACTGTAGCGCTGTCCTCCCGTTGTTCATCGATTTGCTCAAGGGGGCCCAGTAATGTCTGCATCGTGAGACTTGTTGTTACTGTGTTTGGCATACTGAATACGTCACGGGCAGCTTGCCAGGCTTTGCAGTGCGGGCGAGATACTCTTGCTATCTTGCCAGACTCTCCGATAGGGGTGGAGGAATCTAACCTGGCTTGGCTGGGCCGGCTGCGCGTAAGGCAAATGCCCTACCACTGTGCTATTGCTACAGCCCAGGAGAAATCTATGTAGTAGAATTTAGTTCTTAAGAGTCAATGCTGACCCCCAAGGAGAGAGAGAACAAAAGGGAATGCCCTGCCACAGAGGCAGAGTGAGGTGGGCGGATGGGGGTGGGAGGGATACTGGGATTCATGGTGGTGGAAAATGGGCACTGGTGGAGGGATGGGTATTTGATCATAATCAAAACCCCAGCACAAAAATTTGTAAGTCTACAACTGTACCTCATGGTGTTTCACTAAATAAAAATTAATGAAAAAAATGAGTAAGTGCTGAAGTAGAGGTAAATCATTGTAATGTCCTTTTGGCTGTAAACACGTTTTAATGTTTTGGCAGTGTGGTATATAAATATGTGAAAAGAGACACTAGAAATAGAGAAGAAATAAAATATGAAATTGCAAAATATTAACCAACAGTAAATATAGCTAAAGACACAGTAATATACATTATTAGTTTTTTAACTTTTCTGAAGGTTTGCTGTTTCTCTAAGTAAAAAGTTAGGAGACATTGAGTTAAGGAATATAAACTTATAATTGTTAGCTATCCAATTAAAATAATATAAAAGAGAGTTTTTAATTTTTTTTTTCTTTTTGAGTCACACCCGGTGATGCCTCAGGGGTTACTCCTGGCTCATGCACTCAGGAATTACTCCTGACATTCTCAGGGAACCATATGGGATACTGGGAATTGTACCCGGGTTGGTTGCATGCAAGACAAATGCCCTACACGCTGTGTTATCACTCCAGCCTCGAGCTTTTAATTTTCATATGCTCAGTGTTTAAATGATGTTTGACATCGTGTAAGGAGCTCAGTATGTCTCATATATGAATACTAAAAAAGGCGAATGTTTTTTCATCTTATCCCTTCTAACTATGTACTCTTCTTCATTTCTCACATTTGAAATTTCTTTCAAACTTAGAATATAAATAACAATTAAGTGTGCATCTCAACCCTTGTGTGTGTGTTTATGTTTGTCTAAAAGTTTCCTTCTCAATCTAGCTCTCTACCACAACAAAGACCAAATCAGAGCAGAGTTGCCACAAATAAAACATTTAAAACAAAATATTTGATTAATTTTATATTTCAGATAAATATTTATTCAGTATTAATATGCCCTAAACATTTCACGGAAGCAAAATATTCCAAGGAGCATACTTACACTAACACTTACTTGTTTAGTTCAATATTGTATCTTTTTACTGATTAAGTATGGTAATTCTAATAGAAAACATTTGTTCCCCTGATGTATTTGAATAATGCTACCCACAAAAATGATGGTTTATCCACAAGAAAATGTCTGTAGTTTTGGTATGTTAAAGCACAATGGAAATGAACTTTGATCTTTTTGCTGAATTGCCCTCAGAATGCTGGGATCTCACTTCTTCTCGTTCTGAATCTCTCATTTTATTCCTTAGTTGTAACATATCTGAAGGATTACATTATTTTTTTTATTGTGTTAACACCCATAGATAGAATATACATGGAGTCAAATAAAAATACACCAGCATGATAATTAAACCTAATATACAGTGTTGGATATGTAGTATGAATAAAGAGCTACACGTTTATTACATAGAGTATCATTTATGTCAATGAATCTCTTCTCAGAAACGCTTCCTACACAATGACTATGTGTTTAGCAAAAGAGCAAATGAATAAATCAGCCCAAGGGCAAAGTGAACACTATGTATAGAACTACAAGCTCAACACATTCAACCGCACTCAATCTCGTGGATTGGTTTACAGACTCGTGGTGCCGATTTCCAATGACCGGTCGGTAGCATGCCAGGGAAAGCAGACAGAGGCCCTCGATTTGCAGAAGTCCCTATAGAAAATCACCTGGGGACATATAGCACCAATCCCCAATAGGGATGCACCTTTGCTCTATAGCACCCCCCTGAGTTGAAGTCGGGAAACGCAGGCCACTTGACCGGCCAGAAGGGATGGGCTGCTCCCAGGTGGGTTGCCCACTGGTGTCAGTAATAATTCTGGCCGTCGTACCCGTCATAGCTGCGCCCCTTATAGTAGCTGTACTCGTCCTCGTAGGCTCGGTAGTTGTCCCCACGGGGCTCTGCGTTCTCGTTTTCATAGATCTCGTACCCGTTGTCATACTCACTCGTGCCTATGTGCTCATATTCGTCCTCATAAGCAGTGGTGGTGGTCTCCCCCAAAGAGGTGGTGGGGGTCCCCTGGACGTCCTGGGCCGGGGTGGTTGGCTCGAAGCCCCCGTGGGGGGCAGCAGAGGTGGGGGTCTGCTCTGCAGCCACCGTCGTTGAGTGGACAGCGCCTTCCGTGGCATCCTCACCTTCCTCATCTCCGTTATCTGCGTCGTTGCTGCCGTGGCTGGGGACCTCGGTACTGTTGGTGCTGGTGCCGTTGATGCCTTGCTCGTTGGCATCGACTTCTGCTTCGTTTTCCTCGTTTTCATTTTCTTCCTCTTCCTCCTCTTCCTCATCACTCTCCTCTTCTTTTGGAGGGTGGCCCCCAGCCTGTAAGAAAGAAGGACGGAGAAAGAAGCCAATTCACTCCAAGCAGGAGAAAAACAGAAAAAATGCAAAGTCGAGTTCAGGCAGCACCGGCTGGATCTGGCTCTAGATCTGATTTTATTTATTTATTTTTTCTTTTTGGGTCACACCCAGCGATGCTCAAGGGTTACTCCTGGCTTTGCACTCAGGAATCACTCCTGGCGGTGCTCGGGAGACCATATGGGATGCTGGGAATCGAACCTAGGTTGGCCACGTGCAAGGCAAACACTCTACCCGCTGTGCTATTGCTCCAGCCCCTAGATCTGATTTTAAAGGGAAGTTATGAAAACTTACACTCGAGGCAGTAAGGGCTTATCACTGCGGAATTAGCATCTCTGGAGCCTGAGGCAGAGCACAGTGTGAGGATGCTTGCCTTGCACCTGGCTGAGGGAAACTGATCCCCATCATCACATAAGCCCCACCAGGAGCTCAGAGGCAGGAGGAAGCCCTGAGCATCGCTGGATGTGATCTCAAAAAAAAAATTTGCATAGTTGTCATTTGATTTTACTGTGGGAAAAGAAAAATAAACCTTTCTCCACGGCAGATGTTTCCTGTACTTTTGCTATTTACATTTTCTGTGTTGGGACCCTCTTCTCCAAAAAGCAATGATATATATCTCAGGACCACTGGGAAGAGGCTTATGTCTCATTTTCTGTTATAAAGTACAAAATTAGTGTAATAGTATGGCAAGAGAATTTGTTCGAGAAAAGAGGTTTCCTTCTTTGTAATAAAGGAATTTGCATTTTCTTTCGCTTTTTCAGTGAGTTAATGAAGCTAATATAAAATACTAAGTGCATTGCTGTTAAGATAACCTGGGGCTGGAGGGATAGCACAGTGGGAGGGCATTTGCCTTGCACGCAGTCAACCAGTTTCGATTCCCAGCATCCCATATTATGGTCCCCCAAGTACCACCAGGAGTAATTCCTGAGTGCAGAGTCATGAGTAAACCCTGAGCATCGCTGGGTGTGACCCAAAAAGCAAAGGAAAAAAAAAAGGAAAACCCAAGACTGCAAATAAATCAATAAAATAAAAAAGAGTCTTAACCCCTGGGACAAGTAGTACCTTCTTGGGAAGCTGGATTCCAGCCAGGCCTATTGTTCCTGTCCCTGGTGTCATCTCTCCGTAGCCTGGTGTCGCCGTCCAGAGGGTTGTGTTTTCAGCCTCAGACTCTTCCTCTTCATTGCCATTAGAGTCTTCATTCTCTTCATTGTTTTCTTCTTCATTTGAAGTCTCCTGGTTAGAAAAAAATGTACCCAGAGGAAGAAAAGTTATGTGAGCTAGAAGAGACTTCAAAATTTGTTGGAGTTGTCAATAATTACTGGGAAAAGTTCTCTATCCTTCAGCTAGCTCATTACTGATGCTGACACTGCTGCTTCCTCTTGTAACATTTGCATTTCTTATTTCTAAGAGCGCACTCCAAACAATCTCAGTTACTCACTGATTCAAATGTGTCACTTAGACAGGTGGGGTTAAGTATTTCTCCATCCCATTTGAACAGCTCAAAGCTATTTGAGTAGTAATTTATATGCATCTGATTAATATTATGTGATTTTTATCTATAAATCTTCTTTCTCCATGTCTGTTTATATCTGACACCATGTACAACATATCACACAGAATGAAGTAAAAAAGCATATGGTGCCTTTTGATATAATGCTGGTATACTTGTGTTTTATTTCTAAAAATTTAATGGTATTTAACAAATACTCATGACAATGACTTCATTCCAATTATATTAAAATGCAATATTTTTAGGTGGTGCCAAGTAGTTAAAAAAAGAATGTAAAAAAAATGGATCAACACCAAATAGAAAACATGCCTTAGCACCACTTACGTAAAGTAAATTGTTGCAGAATCTGTATTTAACTTTGATTAGCAATGAAATTTTAGGAAGAAATGCATAGGAAAGAGGTTTTAAGATTTCTTTATAAGGCAGAAGAGATAATTAGGCACTTGTCTTGTATCCCATCAACCTGGCCTCAAAGCCTTCACCACATATCTGGGCCCTTGGGCACTGTCAGGGTCACGTCTGAGTACAGAGCCGAGAATAGCTCCTGAGAACTGAAGAATGTGATCCAAACACACCTAACCTCCGTACTCTCCCCCCCAAAATCTTCAGGAATAAAATTGGAATATTCCCAGATTATTAATATGCTTTCTCGCATTTTCATTTTTAATAAATAGCCTTGCGAAAAAAATACCAAAAAAAGAGTAAAAAGAGAATAATCTTTGGAGCAATTATTTTTCTGAAGTTTCAAGACCAAAGAGTGAAATACTTACTGGGTACTACAGACAGACAGACAGACACACACACACAGATATATACGTATATATTTATTAACATATAGTCTTCAGTTTCTTGCATCATGAAAAGTTTATAGATAATGTCTGGGAGCATAAAAGTGTTCAGATATTTTTAGCAAAATTTTGAGGATGTATGTCTTATCAGGATCCTAAAGGAGGAGAAGGAGAAGGAGGAGGAAGAAGAGAGGTGGAGAAGGAGGAAAAGGAGAAGAGAAGGCGGAGGACATGGAGAAGGAGGAGGAGAATGAGGAAGAGAAGGAGAAGAAAGAGAAGGAAAAGAAGTATTATTTTCTAAAAGTTGGGCAAAATTGGGATATTAGCAAGCAAGGCACTTCATAATCACTGATAATCACTGTGCATTGAATGACCAAAGTTTAGATTATGACTAAGACTCCGGACAAAATGTTTTGGAATTTAGCAATAGCATCCTTATAAGGGTTGAATTCAAAGAGCAATTGGGTAAATTATAGTACTGAAAAGATTACTTTCATGGTAAAATTAGAATTAATGATTTGTCACTTTTTAATTTCCAGTACCATTTTGATTTCAAGATTGTAGATGTTTGACAGCTTAATTATAAGTTTACTGAGAATTCCCAGGACAGAGAAACATTCATTCAAAAGGACATATGCACACTATTCTTCATTGAAGCACTCAGTGCAATAGGTAAAATTTTGGGTCAACCTCTATGTCGAACAACAGGTAAGTGGGTCATGACAATGTGTCATATAAACATAATGGAATACTTTGCAGCTGTAAGAAACTACAAAATCATGCAATTTGCCTTGACATGATGTAACTGGAAGATATCATGATACAAGAAGTAAGAAGCAGACAGAAATACACAGGATAATATCACTTATACAAGGTATTTAGAATAACTGGATGCAGAAGGGCAGTGGTTGTTCATGTTTAAATGGGTGATGCCTAGACCACCCTAGGCACCAGGGTCTAGAGAAGAGAAGGAAAAAAATCAATGGAAGTGGGGCAGAGAAAAGACAGATGAGACAACAGGGGTCAGGGGTCAAGAGGATTTAGGCTTGTGTGTGTTGTTATGGAATGATAGAGTTACATATTGAGATCACAGAGTCAACAACACTGAAATCATGAGACCCAAACTTTAACAACAAGACTTTAAAAGGTGCCTATCAAGATGCAGGCTGGGGGTGGGGCATAGGAAAGGGAACCTGGGGACAAGGATGGAGGGAAGGTGACACTCATGGAGGGATTAGTGCTATGTATTATATATATATATATTATAAATGCTATGTATCTTATTATATGTCATTGTATTTAAAATCCAACTATGAAGAACTTTGCAAATCACTGTGCTTTAATAAGACAAAACTTTTAAAAAGATTGCAGATGTTTTATCCAGGATCCATTTTTGATTATCACTGTCCATTCATAAAGTCATTCAAAAATTCCTGAATTCAGAGTGCGTATGTTTTATCAGAATCCTAAAGAAGGAGGAGGAGGAGGAAGAGGAGGAAGAGGAGACGGAGGAAGAGGAAAGAAGAAAGAGGACGAGGAGAAGGAGTAAACTATTAAATAAATATAACTTACTATATGGGGAAACGAATCTGATTGGTATGGGTAAGAATGTCAGCTGTAAATTATCTCAATTTTGAAAAATATATTAATAAGCTTTAGTCATAAACAACACTAATTTATAGCACTGAATGAAGAGATATTTACATAATCTTGACTACATTTCTCTTAAAATAAAAATTTTATTATTAAACAAAAAAAAGACATCAAATTTCTACTAAAAACAGAAAACCAACTTTGTGGGTCAAGAAAGACAAATAAATCACAATTACACTCTGAAGAATATGGGGTTAACTTTCATATGCTACCCGTTTAGCAAAGTGAATTTTTAAAGTTTGGTCACTGAAACAGGGGTTATACTCTGTTTAGGATTATCATGTACTTGTCTTTAACCACATGTCTATCCACTTAAATAAAATGTTTTTTTAAAAAAAATCCTTATTTACCCTTCTCCACTTTTTTGGTACCATTTGCAGGCAACTTTAACCCCAGACTGAAAAATGGTTTGAAACAGGTCATTTTATTTCATTCTAATTTAAATAGCATTCAGCTTGCTCAAAATAGAAGACTGTGGCCAGCTGGCTACAGCTTTTTATTGAGTCCAGACTGCAGTGGACTAGCTTTCCATTTGTTTTCTGGTGCTTCTTGGTTCATTATGAAAACCAATGTGACTCAGTGGTAGAGTACTTGCATGTGTGAGACCCTGGCTTGGAGCCCTCACAGGGCACTGTCCCCTGAGCAACCAACCCGTGAAGACCAAACCAGGAGCAGCCTTCAAGCAGAGCAGAGTGGTCCCCAAATAATAATAACAACAACAACAAAAACAAGTCTTAAACAAAAACACAAACTGCAGCATGTCCTCACCTCTCCTTCCTCCTCCTCTTCTGAGCTATCACCATCTCCATTTTCTTCAGATGAATCACTATTGCTCTAAAAGTACACACAAATCCACACATACAAATAAACATACAAATAAATATATGTCACATAGTCAACAGCAAAGGAAATTCCTGCCAATTGATATAGGATAAAATACACACAAATATTCATTCAAATTACGTAGTATTAACATCTGATTACTTACTGCAACAGGTACCAAGACTCATGTTAATATAAGCAAGATAAGAGACTGAACATATAGATTGAGGTTAGTGCCAAGGAGGCTACAATAATGATCAAGGTAAGAACCAAGATTCTCTACTTTGAACCCCAAAACAACGTGTTGGAACATTTTGTATGGAAAACAAGAACAATGGATCACACAGAATTTTTAAACTCTGAGAGAAGGAGCAATTTATGGCCTTCTAATTCATCTCACAGAGAAACGAATCTGAAATCTGGACAGTTGTACTTCTCCAACCAGTTTAAGGCAAATATTTCACTATGAAAAAAAATCACATTGTTTTATTTTCTTTACAAAATATAAATTGCTCGAGCGGGCCCAGTAACGTCTCCATTGGAGACTTTGTTGTTACTGTGTCTGGCATATCGAATACTCTCGGTAGCTTGCCGGGCTCTCCGAGCGATAGCACAGCGAGTAGGGCGTTCGCCTTACGCGCGGTCAACATGGCCAACCCGAGTTCGATTCCTCCGCCCCTCTCGGAGAGCCCGGCAAGCTACCGAGAGTATTCGATATGCCAGACACAGTAACAACAAAGTCTCCAATGGAGACGTTACTGGGCCCGCTCGAGCAAATCGATGATCAACGGGAGGGCCTTTACTTACTTACTTACAAAATATAAATATAACGATGATTAATTTTGTTATACTATGTGAATTTTTTCCTGAATGATTCCTTTCGGGGGAAGAAGCACACCTGGTGGTGCTCTGGGCTTGACTCATGGCTCTGTGCTCAGGAATTGCTCCTGGTGGGTCTTGGGGGACTATATTGAATACCTGGATTTATACGTGGCCAGCTGTGTGCAAGGTAAGTGCCTACCTGCTGTACTGTCTCTCCAGCTCCCCTAAAGATTCTCTTAAACAAATGAGCTCTACTAGTGAATTTTAATTTGAATTATAACTAAATTTGCTTTTTTTCAATCTAATGGAAGATCCATAAATGAGGCTTATAGATAAATGATTGTTATCTCCACACGCAGGGTTATTTTAGTGACTTTTTTATGTGCGCGCGCGAATGATGATGGTTTTTATTGAATGAAACTTGCTTAGAAAGATGTGAAGGGAGAGAAAGAGAGGAAATGCATTAAAGAGAGAACACAGGCTTCCCCAGAGCGGAAATAAACCAGTAAAGAGAGAGACAAACAAGTGAGACAAAAGTTTAAGGGAGAACAGGGGCTTGAACAGCAAGCCATACCAGGGACTTTTTTGTTTGTTTGTTTGTTTTTGTTTTTTTGTTTGTTTTTAAGTCACACCTCGCAATGCACAGGGGTTACTCATGCATCTGCACTCAGGAATTACCCCTGGCGGTGCTCAGGGGACCATATGGGGTGCTGGGAATTGAACCTGGGTCAGCCGCATGCAAGGCAAACCCCCGATCTGCTGAGGCAAATGCCCTGTCAGTGACTTTTCAAAGAAAAAATGATTCATGTAGTATATTTATAACTCCTATCTCTCTAAAGAGTTCAATACCAAAATGAGAGTACATTAGACCAATGTATTTGTATAGAAAACTATAATTATAGTCCAAGCTAATGGACTTCCCTATTTAAAAGAAAAAAATGCCATCTAAACGTCTCTCAGAGCCTTTAAATGAATAACCAGCTATCACTTGATTTATAAAAAGCAATGTCCTCAATGAAAAGTTGTGAGGATAAGCATACTTATCCTTCTATTTTATAGCTAGGCAGATAGGTCAGCTCTAAATGAGTATACTGTGGTACTTAAGCAATCTCTGCAGAATATTTCATGCAAGTTGGCTGTTTTAGAACTGATTATACTTAACAGACTTGTTTGAGTGAAATGTAAAAAAGTTAAGCCAGGGGCCGGAGCAATAGCACAGCAGATAGGGCGTTTGCCTTGCATTTAGTGGACCCAGGTTTAATTCCCAGCATCCCATATAGTCCCCCAAGCACTGCCAGGAGTAATTCCTGAGTGCAGAGCCAGGAGTGACCCTGTGCATTGCCAGGTGTGACCCAAAAAGCAAAAAAAAAAGAAAAGAAAAGAAAAAAGTTAAGCCAATACAACCTAATTCATTTGGGGTGCCTGTCTCGGCATTAAATATTTAGTAGATTTAAGGGACTAAATAATAAAAAACATGAAAAATGTAAATTTACGGTTGAGGGGAAATTCTAGAAATAAAACTGCCGGTTGGGGGGCACCAGGGGTTCTCAAAGGTCACTTCCGGCTCTTCATGCAGGGATTACTTCCGGCTGGCTTATATGGGGTGCTGGGGATCTAACCCAGCTTGGTTGAGTTCAAGACATCACCTTACCCACTGCACCATCTCTCTGGCCCTAAACATCGTTTTGTTAGGGTGTGTCTGGGTGTCCAAGCAGTGCTGAGCAGCGCTTAATACTGGACCAACTAGGCCAGCAGTTTGGAGATGGGGTGCAAGAACGTGGTGAACCTCAGGTCTGGGTGGGCCCTACTGGTAAGACCCTGGTGCCAGCAGGCTTGGGAGTTATCCAGGTAATGCCACAATCTAACCGTTAGAGGATCTCGTGCCCCTAACTTTGTGTCACCCTTGGAAATAAAGCCATATAAAGTAAGAGAGCAGAAGATATATCAGACTATTCAATGTATCTATCTAATCTTATTGGTCTCTATTTTCAAACTATCTTACAAATTTCCACATTCATTGAGATGGACCTTTCTGTACATAATTGTGGAAAACCTCATTTGTACACCGTAGATATATCTAAAGACATATTAACTGTGGTCTATCACTGATATTAGTGTGATTACTATACTTCATTTGTATACCCCATAAAATAATGGAAAATATGCATTTATAATATTTTAGGTAGGAATATCTCTGACTTCTTGACCTTTCAGAAAAGTTGGGTAAGTTACCAGTAGCTTAAGTTTATCATTTCCATTTATCAAGAGCTTAAATTTATCATTTCCATGCAAGCTAAGAAAAACAAAGCAATGTTTCAAGTGAGGGCTGTTTACTTATGGGCCTGAGATGAACCGAAGAATGTAAGACAATTCTGGAAAACCACGACTCTTGTGTCATTTGTGTTCAGATTTCTGTGGTCACTCATATTCCCTGTAATTATTATGGTTCTGGAAATACCATAAGATGATCAGTTCCTATCGTCTGAGATGAATGAGCCACATATGATGGCAGACAATGCCAAGACACTGGTCAGGCCCATTTTCAGTGCCCTGACTGCTGTCAGGGGCCTGAGAGCCATTGGTGTTTCACTGGTACCCTGAGCCTGAACCCTGTCGTTATAAACATAGTGCGGCATTGTTTTGTTGACTATTTAAAACCAGCTCAAAACCCTCTTAGCCGTCATGACTCCCTTCAAAGGTAACCCAGAAATACTGGAAACCCTTATTTTTATGTTGAGTTATTTTCCTTTCTGCTTACAGATTTTAAGGATGTTTTGTTTCTCTCACAAGCTTTTTAGTTCATGGGCCTTTTTCTTTCCTCCACAGTTCTTAAGTCAGGTTTCCACTGCAGTTAGGCTCAGATACTGTCATTCAGGGGATCCTAACTCAGCCCTGGGTTTGCAGGAGTGACTCAGCTGAAAGGGGCAGGTGGCAGTCTCTGTTCGGGGTATGAAGAAGGTAAGTGATAATCTGGAAGGGCGCTAAGTAATCTTTTCTTTTTCTGCAAAAGGCACAGAAGGCCAAGTAAGTTTGGGAACCTTGGCTAGAATATATGACACATTGCTCTAGTGAACTTAAAGGACTCTTAAATCTCCAATATTCACCGTATATTATCAAGGTTTTTTTTTTTGCTTTTTGGGTCACACCCAGTGATGCACGGGAGTTACTCCTGGTTTATGCACTCAGGAATTACTCCTGGCAGTGCTCGGGGGACCATATGGGATGCTGGGAATCAAACACAGGTTGGCCACGTGAAGCAGGGCAAATGCCCACTGTGCTATCGCTCAGGCCCAAGAATGTTTTTTTTGAAAAATGGTTTTTGCTCTTTATGTAGTCAAATACCCTCTTACTCCTATAAACTAAAGGGCTCTGAATTATTGGCTGTGAACTGGCTAGATAGTAAGATTTAATCAATTATAACAAAAGTATTAATGTTCTTATCATGAAATTAATTTTCTGATACTGAAACAATGATGCTCTTTTGTCAGTTGAATTAGTCAAAATATCTGAATTCAAGGTACTTGTATATTATTCTATTCTGAGTTCACTTTATTTTACTCTGCATGTGTATTTCTGCTTCAGAAGAGAATTTAGGCATGTGTTTTGTTTTTTGATATCCAATACAAGCTTTTTTAACAGGAAGTTCTCTTTCTGCTGGAATTTTTGGCAAAAGTTAAATTCAGGGACTTTGTAGTTACATTTTATTTCCTTGAAATTGTAATCGGTAAGAAAAAATTGCTAGAGCGATAGCACAGAGGGTAGGGCGTTTGCCTTGCACGAGGCCAGCCCGGGTTTGATTCTTCCGTCCCTCTCAGAGAGCCTGACAAGCTACCGAGAGTATCCTGCCCACACAGCAGAGCCTGGCAAGCTTCCTGTGGCTATTCAATATGCCAAAAACGTAACAAGTTTCACAATGGAGACATTACTGGTGCCCGCTCGAGCAAATCGATGAACAATGAGAGGACAGTGCTACAGTGCGAAGAAAAAAAAAGTATTTTTATACTTACCTGAACTGGAAATCGTTTTAGAGGAGGATAAAAGTAAGCATACTTATAAAGAGAATATCGTGGTCGGTACTTAAAGACCTGTATAAACAGAAAAAAAATGATACAATCACATTTAATGCACATCAGGCTGAGATTAAGAACAGTCAGGCCAAGGAAGTAAGCTTACCGCATTTTCTTCAGAATCCTCTGATTTGGCTCGTCGATAAAAATTTTTCATCTATTAAAGAGAGCATTTAATTACTAAATATTTCTTTATGTAAAAAGACAAAATTGGAGATAAACGTAGGTTTTTAATAAAAACTTACTGAGAAAGCACAGGCCATTCCCAAAATGCTGAGCAAAATTAAGGCAGTCTTCATTTTGGTGGTTGCTTCTGGAATTAGTGAAATGATAGTAAATACTAAGGGAGAGACATTCTTGCTTAACTATAATATGACATATTAATTTGTTTTCATTTGTGTCTAATGATAATTTTGAGTAAGAAAGACCATAACTCTGTCTTTGTTTTTAGGTAGTCTAAGTAGTAGAAAGCTGACTTGACTTTTTGAAAAAAACTTAACTTCCTTATATGGTCATGATCTTATCTATTGTTTTCTGTCATTAGTAGGTCATTCCCTTACTGCCAGGGTCTTGACTGTATGAGGAAGCTTCCTGTTCTTGATATGGGAATAGTAACTAAATCAGTGGAATTGTTAGTGTGATTATGTGACCTGTTTTATTATTTATTAGTATTTAGAAAATTGATTTACATTTAAATGATCATTTTATGACAATTGACCCTATAGTCAGTTTCCACCTTCTTTATAGCTTTTAAAGTAAAAGTTAAGGGGCCAGAGTGATAGTACAGTGGGGAGGGCATTTGCCTTGCACCCAGAGGACATGGGTTCGATCCCTGGCTTCCCATAGGGTCCCCTGAGCACCGCAGGAGTGATTCCTGAGTGCAGAGCCAGGAGAAATCCCTGAGCATCACTGGGTGTGACCCAAAAAGCAAAAAAAACAAAAACAAAAACAAAAACAAATGAAGTAAAAGTTAATTTATAAAAGGGAAACTATGGGGCTGAAGAGATAGTACAGTGGGTAGGGCTCTTGCCTTGCTCATAGTGACACTTCCAGAAATCTTCTAGGAATGATCCTTGAGTGCAGAGCCAGGAGTAAGCCCTGAGCACAGCTAGGAATGGTCCCCAAACCAAAAAAAAAATAAAACAGAAATCTGGCTAACACCACCAAAATAAAATAAAACAGAAATCTGGCTAACACCTGCCCATTTGCATAATATTTAATTAAGTGCTTTCTCATACAGTGATAGCGTTGGAAACATTCTAGAAGTAAATATGTAATAGTGATGTTGATTTCTCCCTAAACATACTTTGGAAAGCAAAGTTCAAACTGTATAAAGCTTATTGCATTTTGTCATCATTATCCCAGATTTAGTGCACTGTTACTGAACACCTGAACACCTGACATTATAATAAACATACAAAGTCTTTTTTTTTTAATTAGTGAAACACCATGAGGTACAGTTGTAGATTTACTATTTTTTGTGCTTGGGTTTCGATTATACAATGATCAGATACCCATCCCTCCACCAGTGCCCATTTTCCACCACCATGGATAATAACCCCCCACCCCCATCCCCCCATCTTCCCCTGCCTCTGTGGCCCTGTGTTCTCTCTCTCGTTTTGGGTGTTGTGTTCTCCAAAAGAGGCATTGAGTGGCAAACATGTTCAGTCCATAGTCTACTTTCGACATGCATCTCTCCTCCTGGGAGGATCCTCCTAACACCCTTTATTTGGTGCTCCCTTCTCTATCTGAACTGCCCTTTCCCCTAGAATACCCGGCTGGCCTCTAAGTTATGGAGTAATCCTCCTGCTGCTGATCTCAGCTATTCTTGGGTATTAATCTCCTATTTTGTTACTTTATATCCCCCAGATGAATGCAATCTTTCTATGTCTATCCCTCTCTTTCTGACTCATTTCGCTTAGCATGATACTTTCCATGTTGTACCACTTGTATAAACATACAAAGTCTTAAGCTAGAGAAGCTCTCTTGAACTCAAGTCATATTCCCTTTGTGACAGAGTGGTTAATTTTGATATTTATACATTTCCTCCTGTCCCTTTTATTTTTTAAAAGTTTCCATAGGCCAGATAAAGCCATATAAAGAGACTTGACTGCTAAATGTCCTCCCTCTGTATAGTAAGCTTTCATTGATTTGGGGGGCCTTTTGTATAATGCATTGAATTTGGCCGCCCATTGCCAAGTCTACCAGCAAACAGATTTTTGATTTTTATCTCTAAGAAAAGAGTTACAATGCTTAAATATCCAAAATAGTTAAAAACACAGAACCATATATGACTTTTGACCACATAAATTTCATGCAACAAAATCTTTAAAAAACAATAAAAACATAACCTGGATCATATTTTTAAAGATGATTCACAAAGACAGCAAACAGCTGCTTACATAAATCTCATTATATTTATTTTGTGATTCATCAAAAGCAAAGTTCTCTTAGTAGCCACGACTAACTCAGACCCCATATTCTTATAGGGTCATTTTGAGAATTTAATTATATGCTTATATTTTTCATGCTGATTGTCGAGCTAGAGATCACTAATGTGGAGAAGTTGCATGTGCTGAGATAGGTAAAAGGTAAAAGCAAAACAGTATTTCAATCAAGTTATCTTGATACAGCAGAGTGAGAAAACAGTTATCTATGAGATCCAGAGACAGAAGGAAGGAAAAATCATCCTCTAGTTTATGTGCAAACTATTAAGAACTTGTTTATGTACATGAAAAGACTTCGCTTTTTTATTTGCAAAGAACTTAAAATCTGAGTAAGCAGTTTTGTGATGCTTGTTAAATTTCGTAGTCATTCTACAATACAACAATATCAATATTTCAGAACAACATTCAAACCCAAACCTAGGGAGATAATACAACACGTATCTGATTTTAAGATAATAAAATTGTCATAATAAATCTTACCCTTTTGCAGTCCTGGATTGTGGAGGCAGGCTCACGGGAGTGAGTGACACAGATTGAGTATTTTCTCTGGTCTCTCACTCACTCATTCACTTGCTCTGGCTGGCTATAAACTCTCCATTGCTTGCAAACAGCCAATCCCTGTCACGGCCAAGGTGATGTCAGCCTGTGGATTCTCACCAGAAAACCCCCAAACTTCAACACTTTTTCAAGACACAGGCTCAGTTGAATAAACATGAAATGTGGTTCTAGTGCCAAGAGGTTTGCATTGTGGAATTTAATTGATGGTTTAGAGGAAGATGAATAGTTTGAGCTCTGAATATACATATAATAATATACTGGATTTGAATTAAAATAAATAGCAAAGGATTTAACTATTTAACAGTTCACAATTATACAAATTTTCACTGCTTTGAAGGAAAAATTACTGTGTGTAGATACAATTCTATTATGATTAGTATAAAAATAATTAAGGAAAAGAAATTGATGAATCATATAAATTATTTTCTATTTCTTAAAAAATATTTTTCTACATTTTTATGCTTTGATCACTCACAAATTAAAATAGACATCTTCAAATCAGAATATATGTAAGCTGTAGTTGCTAAAAAATGCAGCTCTATATAAAGTTAAAAGTTTTGAGGAGCATGCTACTAAGAAGTAGGTTAATTAATTTTTGTTCTGTAAAATAAGCCTTTTTAGATTATCTGTTTATATGTCACTTTCTGCTGGGCAGGCGAATTCACTGCATTTTAGTTTTCAGACTCTTGCAATCTTTTTGCTGATTCATTGCCACATTTACTTTTTTTATTGGTTGTAGAAAAGAATGTTTATATCTCGCAAGGATCATCAATTGTTATTGAGATGGTTCATGAAAATCAGAATCGTATGAAACTGACAAATACATTAATATTTTATATTTTTGGGGGGAGGATGTTTTGGAGTCACCCCCTGGCTGAGCTCAAGGTTTACTTTTGGTCCCATGCTCAGGGCTCACTCCTGGAAGGACTCAGGGGGCCGTATGCAGTGCTTTGAGTCAAACCAGGCCGGGTGCAAGGCAAGTGCTTTGATACTGTACTAGGTAAAGGTAAAGGCCCTCCCGTTGATCATCGATTTGCTCGAGCGGGCCCAGTAACGTCTCCATTGGAGACTTTGTTGTTACTGTGTTTGGCATATCCAATACATCACGGGGGGCTTGCCAGGCTCTGCCGTGCGGGCGAGATACTGTACTAGATCCCCAGCAAAAAGCAACAATTTTTTAATTTATGAAGAGAAATCTAGCTTTTCTATTTTGTTTTGTTTTTGTTTTTGGGTCACACTGTGCTATGTTCAGGGATGACTCTTGGCTCTGAATTTATGGATCACTCCTGGCAGGATCTGGGGACCAGATGGGATGCTGAGGATTAAATCCTGGTGGGCTGCTTGCAAGGCAAGTGGCCTACCCTACCCACTCTACTATTGTTTTGATTCTAAGGGAAATTTGGCTTCATAGCTGGCATATTCTCCTTGTAGGTCATTTTGTTCCTCTTTTAAATTGTGACATCCACCAGAGAATAAAAAAAAATCAATACATATTATTTTTAATTAAAGTTGCTTTGTTAGATGTTTAAGATGGATCACCTTTAATTGGAGGAAACAGTGCTCAGAGAATCTTAAACATGAATGTGTTCTGAGTCAGGATCACGAAGAACCAAACATAATAATCATCCGGTTCCTGTCTTTAAAACTCTTTCATAGCTATGTGGAGCAACAGATAAATAGCCGTCAGGCATAGCAACTGGAAGATTTGTCATTTATTCTAAATGACAAAGAATTGAGCATCTGGACTCACATCAGAAGAGGAACCTGCTTAAATTATCATGAGGAGAGACATTAACGAGGAAGAAGAGAAAAGCATCCTTAGGAATTTAAAAATATCTAGTCAGTTATTTTTTATGGCGGAACCAAGGGTTCCAGTATTGTTGATGTTATTACTTCATACTTTTCAGTGATATTTTACGACCACATCACCAGTGTTGCTAGCTCTCCTTGCTTATCCCAAAGTCCATCCCATTCCAAACCGTTAACATCCTTAGTTCACTATTTTGCTTGCTTCCCTTGGGATTGTCTAACCCCTCACTCAAAAAAAAATTAATTGAAATTTTGAGGTTTACAATACTGTTGACGATGATTTCTTGTGCCCTGAATTCCAACACCACACCCCTCACTAGTGTACCTGCCTCCCTCCCCCAGGACCTTGAAGCCCCTCCCTTCCAACTCCTACTCCCATCAACTTAAGTTTGTGGATCATAACCCGCTTTGTGTTGCTGTAGCTCTTTGTTGCTGCCATGCTATGAAACTTTAAGTCCCACACAGGAGAGAGATAGTCTGTTGCT